GGGCGCTCGGGCTCTGCCACCGTCCTGCCGTCAGAGCCCACCCACCGGCACCCGGCCACCCCTCTCCCCTTCACGCCTCCGTCGACACCCCGAAATGGGGGTCGTGCCGGGCTGGCGTCTTCCCCGGTTCGTCCCGGTGAGACGGGAGGGGAAACGGGAAACGTCCCGTCTTGGGCAAACCCGGGTCCGAAACGTGTAATCGTCTGACGTGGCGGATGGGTTCGCTGAAGGGAATGTGGAAGTTGGACTTTTGATTTCGGGCTTTGCTTGTGCCAAAGCTCGGGAAGTGAAACCGCTCTCGGTCCGTGAGGATTCTCCCTAAAGAAAGCGAGATTTTTCTAAAACGCTTTTGGCCGAGCGCTGGGTTTTGTTGGACGCTTAAATTACAAGGAAATTCCTTAATTATCCTTCCCCAAATCCATCCAGACACGGGTTATTCCTCGCTGATGTTAAATATGTTAAAAATGATGTTAAAAAACGCGCAGCTCGTTCTCGGGAATACTGAAACGTCTTTTGTCCAAGTTAAAGTCGGATCCGAGGAGCTGCGTTGTTCTGCAGGAGCAAGTCCCACCAGCCTGGGGGTTTTTTGGTTTGTTTTGGTTGTTTTTTTTTCCGGGGAATATTTAATTATGCCTCCCAGGCCCACGGATTAATTGCTTAACGCTCCCGTGTCTCATTTTATTTGCTCACTCTTCTGCTTTGTACAACAGAAACTTGTGTCAAAGCGGAGTCACCCTGTGGAATTCTTTCTTTCCGGCGCCCGTTGCGGTTTATTCGGTCGCTGTAATAACGTTAAAATCACTCGGGGATTATCGAGGTGAAGTTATCGGCTGACTTTCGGGAGGGTTGGCTCCGGAGTTCCCCCTCTGCACCAGCACATCCAGCCCCTCGAAACGGTTACGAGGGAAACTTCGTCGGGCAGAGGGAAGTCTGAGCAGGTTCATCCCGACACGTCACCTGCGGCCGATTGCTTCCTTTCTCACTACCCTATTTTAGGTTGTTTGCCCAGGGAGGAGCAACGCGGCGATGTCACTAGATATGTCACATTTTCCTGGTTGGGAGCAAACTTGTCTGTGTGACACAGCAACAGCTGACCTTTGATAGCTGCCATAACAATAAATACCGCCCGGAACGCCCCGTGAGTTTTATTTGGACCCTGAATCCCGGTGTCTCCCCGAGCCGGGGTCCTTCCTACGCAGGGGTTTCGGGGCTGTCGAGGGAGCAGAAGGCCGGTGATGTCTCTCAGTCTCCTCCCAAACGGGCTCCAAGTGAATTTGTGGATGCTTGTCGCACCTGCGCACGCTCTGAATTTCCTTTTCGGAAGATTTGGAGCTTGTTCTTCACTTAAGGCGAATCCTAACAGCAAAACAAAGGTCTGCGGTGTGTTAAAAAGAGAACGGGTAGCTGCAGTTACCTTCTAGCTGCGTGCCGTTACCTTCTTTTTTGTTATGGTCCGCAGGAGGAAAGAAAGACCGCGTTTGGAAGGCAGCGCTCGCGATCAGCTCAAGTTTTGGGGCTGACCGGCGAGGTTTCAGTTAGCGGGAGGCTATCCAAAAATAAAACTCGTCAACTGAGGGACCTTCTTCTAAATCTTAGCAATCGTGGATGCAAAGAGTTCATCACTTTGCGCGAGGTTCGCAAGCGCTGCGGTGAAGGGCTCGTTGTAAAACAGGGGACTTTCAGCCAGAGAAAAGTTGAAAGGAGAAATCCCGCGGGAGCCGAGGACCCGAGTCCTTCCCGGCCGTTTGCAGATGCTCTGCTGGGGAGAGCTCACCGTTCCCCAGCGTGTCAGGATAACGGTTAAGTGAGGAGTGTCTTCGCTGGAATCGAATGTTTTTGGACTCCGTGCTGGCCTTTGGGAGCAGATTGTTTCGATCGGTGCCGCTGGGAAGCAAAGGAAAAGGAGCTGGGCTGAGATGAATCCCCTTAGAAAGACAGGAGGGCTGCGGTGGCTGCTGAGAGGTGGTGATCCCTCGCAAAATGCCGCTGCCAAAGCGAGGAAGACCCCGGCGACCGTCTTTGACTGATGTGTCAGTGACATCCCTTGGTTTTCCTGCGGCATCGGGCCTGAGGGCTCCCCGGTAGGCGTTTTTCACAAGCTTTCAGGCACGTAACAACATTTTTCCTGAACGAGGAAAAACGAGGTGGCCTCTCGAGCTTTTAAGGAAGCCCGGCGCAGGGAAGTGGCTCTTTCCCAAGCGTCGGTCCTGGTGTCATGGGCAATGTGGCCTCGTGTAGCTGTCCCGGGTTTCGACGGAGAGAAAAATAAGTAGCAGCTTTGTCAAAATTAGGAGCTTCAGGGGAATTTGTAAATGGACTTAACGCCCGCCTGGGTTTGGCACCTCTCTTTAGGAGGTGCTAACGCGTTGTTGGACGTGGGGAATCTTTTCTTTACACGCCTCGTTTTTGCCGAGAGACGACCAACCGGCTGAGCGGTGGAGACAGGCAGGAATGTCGTCAAGACTCTGGGGGCTCCCGGTCGCCGCCTTGTACGGCTGGTGTGTTCCGAGCTGGTTTGGGGCTCCCAGCACGAGACGCGACCTCTTGGACGCTGCATGGCCTTCAAAAAGCAGCGCGCTGTCCCCAAAGGTGGCACCAAGCACCCAAGCTGCCGTGGAGCCGTCTCCACCACCATCCTCTCCGCATTAAAATCCCATCTTACGCTTGTACTGACCCTTTTATTCCCATTTATCTGGCAACTTCTCTGTCATGCCGGGCTGTTTGCGTCCCTTCCGCCATTTTTGCCGTCCCCAGGGTACTAAGCGGCTCTGAAAGCCCCCGAGGTTTGCAGCTTTTCCGGGGATCATTTACTAAGGCAGCGCCTTAATCCTAATTGCAGCGTACGGAGGAGTTAATAACTTGTTCTTTCTATTTTCAGGTCGACGCACAACGAGATGGAAAAGAACAGGTCAGTGTTGGAGGCTTGTTAGGAGCCGGCTTTGGGTCAGTCGCTGCTTTTCCAGGGGTTGGGAACCGGGGTCGGGGAACCAAGGCGGCGTTGAGGGGGGGAGCGGGAGGGAAGGGACAGGACGGCTGGATAAAGTGCCCACCAAGGAGGTGCCTGATGTCGCCCAAGATGAGTACTTGGACTTGAAGCCTTCCCTGTCCTTGGCTGCGGCTCTGCAATAAGGAGGTGGGAATGACGTTTATCTCCTCCGCCAGCTCCCAGTTTGCTGGTGAAACCCTTCATCCCACCTCTCAGCTTGCTAGGGGAGAAGGGTTTCCAGCCTTCTCCCAATTCCCGGGGCAATCCCGTGCCGGTGGGGCGGCCGCCATCCTCTGCTCACCCGCGGGTGGGGGGTTGGGGGGTAGGTATGTGCATGCACGTAACCGTGGTTATTTGTGAGAGAGAGCGGTCTGGTCTTTGTCGTCCGGCTGAAAGGTGGCTTTGTGTCCTTGAGAGGCGGCTCTTTTTCTTGGCGTGGCTTGGACACGGCTCAAATCTTGCTGCCAGCGTGAATTCGGTTGGTTTGGATCTTTCGGACGCAGAACTGCCCCTGCCCGTGTCCCAAGCAACGTGGGTTAGAAAAGGCCGGGGATATTTATTCCTCATTTGAAAAGACTGAGAAAATTACCATTTGATTACTTCAAGCTCACGTTGCATCCCTCTTGCCTTGTTTAGACCGGAGCCGTGTCGAAATCCTGTTGGTAACATTGCACAAGCAAGCGCAGTAAACGCTCGTCTTTTCCGCCCCTTCGAACAGGCCGGAGAAATGAGCTTTCGCTCTGGACAGAGGTTACGCGCTCCTTCTTCCTTCGCTCCACGTTAGAGATACCCCGATCCCGTCCTGTGGCGGTCGAGATGGCAAATCTTGGCCTCGACCAAAGTTTGCTGCCTTCTCCCTGGCTCCGGGAGCAGCTTGGGGAGGGAGAGTGATGGGGGTATCTCACGGAGCATAAGGACAAGCGCAATGAAACGAGCCGATGGGCTTGGAAGGTCCTTTGCCCAGGAAATGAAGGGGGTTTTTCTTTTATTATTATGAGCCAGTGGGATTTCTGGGGGGTTTTAAGCATGGCAGCAATTTCAGCCAGGTGAAACGTAGCAGAAAATCGTTTTTTATAGATACCGCGCCTCTTAACTTCGAAGCTGGAAACCCCAGTTTTGACTCCGGCGTTGGCATTGTGTAATCCAGAAACTCGCTCGGCGCTGGCAAAAAAAAGGGCGGGTGGCTGCCACTTTCCCCCCTGCGTAACTTCTGCTAGGCAGGGCGGGCTGGTTTTTTTCCATTCGTTGGGTTTTTTTTCTGGTGCGAATGGCCAGCGTGACAAGGCATATTTATTTATTTTTTTTTTAGCAGAGGTAGCCAAGGATTTCGATTTTTGCTGCCGCAGCCCCCGCAGAGCACGGCTGGGCCAGCTCCTTATCCGTAGATCTCACGGGTAAATCACTCGTAAGCTGGCACGGCGCAGTC